GATTACAAGGTGGATTGGAAAAAGAATTACAATATTTGGACTACAATATATAATACTGAGATTTCAATAGCTTGCCATGAGTTCGAGGCCAGTCTGGGCTACATAGTGAGTTCCTACATAGTGAGAAATGTCTCAAAAAATTAAAAACATAAAATAACAACCTCCTCCCCCAAAAATGCATGAAAAAATATTCAACATGTCTGGCCATTAGAGAAATGAAAATTAAAACAACATTGAGATTCCAGAGAGAATGGCTATCATTAAGAAATCAAATGTTGGTTAGGTTGAGGAGGAGAAAGGAACTCTTCTGCACTGCTGGTGGGAATGTAAACTAGTACAACCATCAAAGAAAACAGTGTGGAGACTCCTCATAAAACAAAAATTGTAAGTTTTATTTGACCCAGATATTCCCCTCCTAGGTTTCTTCCAAAAGAGCGAAGGGCATCATGTGGCAGATATGTGTGTGCCCATGTTCACAGCAGCTTAATTTGCCACAGCTAAATCTTTTTTTTTTTTTTTTTTTTTTTGTACCAGGGATTGAACTGACGACCGCATGCTTGCAAGACAGGCGCTTATGCTGCTGAGCTATAATCCCCGGCCCCACATAGCTAAATCTTGGCAGCAGCCTATATGTTCACCAACAGATGAATGAATAAAGAAAATGTGGGATTTATACACAGTGGTGTACTCCCTTTTCATAAAAGACAAATGAGCCATTTGTAGGAAAATGCTCCTTAGGGCCATAATTTTAAGTGAAATAAATCAAATACATGAGTTCAAATAGCATATGGTTTCTGTTAGAGGAGGACCCCAAAACATAAAGAGCAAAATAAAAGACAATAGGAAATAGTGAGATAAATCTTTTGCATGTAGGAAGAGCAGCAGAGAGGGTGGATAGAGGCTGAGGAGGGAAAGGGAAGGAATTAAAATGTGCCAGGCGTGGTGATGCACACCTGTAATCCTAGCACTGGGGAGGCTGAGGCAGGAGGACCGCTGAGAGTTCTAGGCCAGCGTGGCCACATAGTGAATTCAAGGCCAGCCTGAACTACTCAGGGCGACTTTGTCTAAAAAAAAAGAAAGAAAAGAAAAAAAGATGTGTTCTATATATCTACCAACTCCCCGTGAAATGTGGTCACTGTGTACTACAAACATGTATTAATAAAAAATAAATTAAAAAAAAATGTTCAATGTGAAATGTATTAATGGGAAAAATAATGAAGAAAACCAAAAATTTTTTAAATATAATAAAAATAAAAGAACTCAAATGGCAAATAACACCATTTCAATGATCACAATAAATGGGCTAAATTTGCCTAGGAGATTTCCAGAGCTTCTCTCTCTCTCTCTCTCAGCAATGTGCTGAGGTGGTTCACAAACCACCTGTGTAAAGGAAAGGGACAGACAAAAGACTGTCAACTTCAAAACAAAAGCACCCTAGTAACAAAGATATTTTACAGCAATGAGAAAACTCCACTTCTGAAGTTTTTTGAACTAAGGAACAAAATTTATATTTAAAACCAAAATTTATGTTTAAAAAATAGCTATTTTAACCATAATGGAATCATTTAACATCCTTTTCTCAGAAATAGGCAGACAGTACAGGCCAAAAGTGATGGAGAGGCTACAAGGAAAGCCAATGCATTTGAATAGTTTAGAAAACACTAGCTTACGACAGAAAATATAGAACTTTGTATCTACCTAATAATATGCACTTTTGAACTTTCAAATGTTGATAGAACATTTACTATTGCCCTTTCCCCCAAAAGTGAATCTAAAGTTCATTAGAAAAGCAAACATGCGAAAGGCATGGTAGTCTTTGCCTATAGTCTCAGCTACTTGGGAGGATGAGGCAGGAGAATTCTTGAGCCTGGGAGTGTTGAGTCCTGCAACAGCAGAGAGACTCTGCCTCTAAAAATTGGAAAGGAAAAAAGAAAGAGGGAGAGGCTTGGAAGGAGCAGGAGGAGAAGGGGGTAAAAAGGCTTTAAAAAAAATAAAATAGGGCCAGACCTGGTAGCACATACCTGCAATCCCAGCACTCAGGAGGCTGAGGCAGGAGGATCACTGTGACCTTGAGGCTACTCTAAGCTATATGGTGAGTTCAAAGCCATCCTGAACTATGTAAGAAAAACAAAAAACAAACAAAAATTAATTTTAAAAATTGCAAACAACTTAGGTGTTTTTGAAGGAAAAAAAATACATATGGCTATTAGCGTTCACACAATAGAGACTGAGGGAACAGTCCTACCTCGTGGTAACATGGTAGCCACAATTCAACTGTGGCCACTGAGCCCCTGAGATGTGAATTTTTTGAACAAATACACTGTCACTGTCGAGCATATGCGCTTGATTGCAAAACATGAAGACTACTGCAAACTCACTTTTTACTTCCATTGTGTGCCAAAATGAAAAATTAGGGAAACTATTATTAACCCCTCCTCCCTTTGGTGAGGCTAGGAATTGAAACCAGGGTTTCCCGCATGCTAGGCAGATGGTCCATCGCTGGGCTGGAGCCGGTAGGCTTTTTGCTTTCTCACTGTGGATCTTGGGAAACCAAATCAAATGCATGGCTCTCACATGGTGTTTCCCACTCTGCCTAGAGACAGACCCAGGCTTTTCTGCCCATCGCTTTATGACACTGGCAGTAGACTTCGTTTTCTTTCTAAATCATCACAGATTAAACACATTCACCCTTTGGCCCAGATGCTGCTTCTCCTGGCTTTCATTTCACATACACTTTACCACATAACCTTTTTTCCTCTCACTTAAACTTTAACCTTTCACATCAGCAAATCACTGATCTTTTATCACAGTGTTTTCTTCCATGTAAGCTTGGAAACATTTCCCCAGGCTGACCCCTGAGCCTCCGCACGTCTCCCAGGGACTTGGCTGCAGATGAGATGACCCCATGCTGCAGGAGAGTGGTGGGAAGGGTGTCTGCCAGAAGCCAGCCTGGCATAGCATCTCACCCTGCTCCAGCTGCAGACATCTTTCTGTGTCACCATCTCCCATCTCCCGGCACCTACTCACCTAGGAAGGAGTCCCTGTCTCGCTGCGTGGCGAGGACTCAGTAGGAACTGCCCAAGAGCACAGCCCCTCACACACAGGGAACCTTCCAGAACTCAGTGACTAACCTTGTTTTCTCTTAAGCCTGTGTCTTACTTTTCTCATTACTGAGACAAAATACCTGTCCCAAAGTTAGAGGAAGAAAGGCTTCTTTGACTGTTTGCAATTTTAGTTCATATTGGCTGGTTCCCAGGCAGGGTGGCAAAACACAGGAGAAACAGTCCACAGCAAAGCAGACGGGCAAGAGCAAAGGACCCCAGCAGCTTCCTAAGCTGCCCCTTCTGTATTCTATGTAGGCCACAGGATTAGGGCAGTACTGTATCAGTGTCCTCATTTAGTCACCAGATCCCAGCATTATACACTCTAGATCCAGCTCCCACTGAAAAAGGGACGCGAAGCTTTGTGGGGGACACTTAGACACAAGCTCACAGCCTGTGATGGTGAGAAGTGACATTAGTTCTCTGACGACGCTGACCCTAGCTGTGGCATAACCAAGGCTTTGGAGGCCGAGCAGAGGCCCAGAACCCATCCTCCATGAGAACCAGCCCTCTCCCGCTCTTCCCAGGCCAAGGACAGACACCTGCAGCCGCATCTGGCCTCCTGCATCCAGCCCTCTGCTTCCTGGCCGCAAGACGCGTTGCCAAACCTCCAGCATGCACTTCCTTCCTGAATGTCCAACTGACACTGAGACATCCCCCGGAAGTCCCCAGGTCATTCAAAAAAGTTATCTAAATATTACTTGCCTGGATCTCTACAACAGCAGCAGAATTTCCTGCAAAACCACCAAAAAATCAATCACCACAAAATTAATCAAAGGCGCACCACAAGGTGAGCATTTACGCTCCTCACCAGCCTCCATCACTTCTCCTCCAGGTTTCCCAACCACATTTCAGGGAGCCACCCCGAAAGGTACCATGAGGCCTAAGGCTCCAGCCCACTGCTGCCTGCTCGTGCTTCCCAGCACTTTCCTGCCCACAGGGAGCTGCTGTCTCCCCAGGAATGCCTCGGGGGGACCTCTGGCCCTCGCCTCCCACACACCCCCAAATGCCCAAGATGAACACCAATCTGCACGCCAGGTCTCACTAGCTCTCTCACTACCTTCGACTGCTGCCATGACACAGCTGGCCAGTCACACCCCGATACCACTGGGTCAGGCCAGCAGCACCTGAGACTGCAGGAGCGCTCCCTGGGCACCCAGCTCCAGGGGATTGGGACACGGCTGACTTAACTGTTTATGTACAAGGACTATTCTGTGACCTTACAGAGGAGGGAAATTGAGGCTTTCAACTTATTAACCACACAGGCAAGAACCAGAGCCTGAGGGAAGACAGGTCCCCCCAGCAGTGATGTCCCAGCTGGAAACAAGAACCAGAAGGCCAGCCTCGTCCTGCTGGGTGGGTACTAGACACACCAGAAGGGTGCGTGGGGTATGCAGCACTAGATTCTACAGGAAGCTGTCTGTATGGGAACCCTCAGGCAACCTGAGTCAGGGCTGCACCACCACCCAGAGGTGGGTAGGTCCCAAGGCAGGGAGGGGCTGTTTGGGGGACCATTTGACCCAGGCTTGGTGCCTGCTCCCGTCACTTCAATGCATGTGTTTTGCTAAGTTCTCACCACTGCAGCAGCCCAGTGAGCTCACAAGTGTCCTAATGTACAGGCTGCACAGCCTGTGCTGGGAGCCAGTGCAGTCAGCTGTTTGGGCAGCCAGAGGGTGAAGCTGCAGGAGGCCTGGCTGCCCCCGCCCCAGTGGGATACAGAGGAGGAGCAAGGCCAGAAATTCAAGACCAAAGTGTCTTCAAAGGGCCACGGGTCTCCTCCAGTGCCAGTCCTGTGAGGCGCGTAGCTGGACCCTCCAGTCTATCACAGCCACCCTCCTTGCTCCCCTTCCCCAACCTTTTTTCACCATTATGGGGAGGGAAAAAAAGTAGACTCAAAGCTACAGTTTATACAATTTGAGGTTTATATAAGTTCAAGTTAAATTATTCCTAAATTGCACAATGCTGGAGCCAGTCTTAAAAAAAAAAAAAAAAAAAAAAAAAAAAAATCAAACACACCATTCCAAGTTAATTCAATGTTTTTTTCTTTTTTTTTTTTTTGTTGAATGTGTACAGCAAAAACTTCCCGGATGATGGCTTATGCCATGTGGTCACCCTGTCTGGTGCACAGAATGCGCCTTCCCCGGCAGGCGGAGCTGGGATGGGCTGGTACGTGCTACGACTCACTTCTTACAGGTGAGGTGTATGGAAAACTTTGAGTTCCCTTTGTTCTCCAGTGTATCTTGTACAAAATATTACATTTCTTTATCACATATTTACAGTTTGCACAAGTATAAAATGGTTACAAAAATTACAATCAGGCTTGGCAAGATCACTGTTCCCCTCCCCGCTGACCAGGGCCAGAGGTGTGACAATCATTTCATATTTACATCTGCATTAAAAAGTCTGGGTTCCCAGAAACCGAGGAAGGGCATAAAAACTAATTGAATGCCATCGAACCATTTATGGAAGCCGTACAAGGAAACTGATGCCAGTCAGTCAGTTCATGGTTGCTCCCTGGAGGAAGACTGAAGTCCGAGAAACCTCTGCATGCGCCACACACCTTGGCCTGCTGCTGCAGCCTGGGGGCGCCAGCAGAGGAGGGGCAGGTGGACGAGAGGGGACGGAGTGGAGGGGTGAGGGCAACCTAGGAGACACTCAGAGCAGTTAAGCCAGCCGGCTCTTGGCAAAATATCCTATGGCTTTGTAAAGAACCCACAGCTGAGTCCCTTTTCTTCGGAAAGGAATTATGTTCTTGGTGGTGCCCAGAATGGGGAAAAGAAGACCCGAGAGGATGACTGGTGACTCCTAGCTTGCAGCTTTGCCTTGAGTCCCACACCCAGTCTCAACAGTGCAAAGACTCAAGCAGCAGCACCAGCAGGGTCAGAGGCTCAAGTAGTAGCTGTCCACCCACTGTGCAAGGCCTCGCTCCACCAGCGACCGGTTTATCAACACCACCTAGAAAACAAAGCTGTGTTGCGGACTCTGCCCATGGCACTTTGGGGTCACCCCTCCAGTCAGCAAGGGCTCTCCCTACCAAGTCCTGTCACCAGACAGGCAGCAGGTGTACATACGGGGTCTGACTCCAAAAAAGGTTTCTTCTAAAATGTTGTTGGCCCATGGCATGAAGACTGGCTTTTCAATTTGCTTTGATACTGAAACTTAAGCTTTGATACTATAAGGAAGACAGGAAAAACCCAGCAGCCGAAGACCTGAGAAGGTCCTGGGCAGGGTTCCCACCTCAGCAGTGATGCCACTTTGGGCTGGGTAATTCCGCACTGGGAGGGGCTGTCCTGGTACTTCAGGGTGCTTAGTAGCAGCCCCGGCCCCTATGACTAGATGACACTAACATGACCACCCCCCAAGTGTGACACTCCAAGAGTCCCCGGGTAGTACTGGTTTCTAGTTACTTCCTGACTAATCAGGAGGATGCAGGGGCAGAACCAGTTCCCAAAGCACCCCTGGCTGCTGGCGGGAAACTCCAATGTACAGGAAGCGGGAACTCACTTCATCTCCAACCACACTCCACAGCTGGATCAGAGGGAGGCCAGTCGGACTGTAACTTGTCACCTAAGGGAGGAAAAAGCACGTTGCAAAGCTATTCCCTGTAGGAGGGAGGAAAGAGGGAAGGAGGGAAGAACTCCAAGGCAGGTCCCAAGAAGCATGGATGCTTCACTGAGCAAGGCAGGAGGTTCCGCTTCCTGCCCTGCCCTGCCCTGCCCTCCCCAAACCACACACCTGGGCGAGCAGAGCTGTATTTCCCGTCATCTCGCTCATAGCTGCATCTGCTTCAGGTGAAAAGTGGTCATCATCTTTATAGGGAAGAGGAAAAGCAACATTCAGATGCTGACCAAGGCAAAGCATTGTCGCCTACACAATGGTCACTGCATCCAAAGCAAGACGCTTCAGAGGCTGCTGAGACCCACACTTGGGCAGAGCTCAGCCTCTATGACTCAAGTGGATAAACACAGAGGCCCTCCAGCACGCTGACCCCTGTGGATGGAAGACAAAGGAAGGATGCGCTGCCTGTGATGGTAATGTCCGCTCCCTCTCCATCTGGGGTCAACTGTGCTGAGTGTGTGTCTGTACAGCAACACCCTACAGGGTCAACAGTGAGCCAAGGTGATCATCAGAGACGCAGAGAGGAGTAGGTGGAATTCAGATCCAGGCGGTATGCACAGGTACTCTCTACTGAGAAGTGAGACGGCCATGTGCTCTGCCAGATCAAAACAAGTCCACTCACTCCCAAGGTAGAAAGGGTGAGGATAGGAGACGGGTCTGTCTGAAGATGTGGGAAGTCTCAGGAGGGAGGGAGCAGCTCAGTAGTTATTATGGCTTGTATCTAGATACACCCCTAAAGCCCCATGTGGTCATAGGTGGGGTTCTGAGAAGCGGCTGCATCTAGGGCATGTGCTGTTGGGACCAAGTGTGATGCTAAGGTTCCCCACTCCCTGGGTGTGAGGGCTCCCCAACCTCATGGTAGACAGCCTGGGGAAGACACATGGAACAGAAAAAGGGTCACAGCATGTTGCTTGTCGCCTGATGCCTTATGCCTGCCATGAGCTGTTTCTCCTCTGCCACGCCCCCATGCCTTGGAGCCAGCCAACTATAAACTGAAACCACTACAAACTGTGACTCAAATAAACCTTTCTTCCTTTTGGAGGTATTTTGTCAGGTATTTTGTCTAACAAGAAAAAGTAAGAAAAGGGGGTCCAGCCAAATCATCCAGTTGAACGGAAAAGGAAAAGAAGGTTGGGCGAGAGCAAGGGAAGAAAACAACAAATGCGTTGCTCAGTGCTCTGTCTGCCATGACTCTGCTAGACTGTAGTGTCTGTAAACGAGTTTGCTCCAGGAGAGCAAGAACAGGACACACAGGGGCCAGCCTGGGGCGAGGGGTGATTATTTGATTATTTCCCACATCCTGCAGTAGCTGTTATCTGAGCACCTTCACCATCGTGTGTGTGTGTGTGTGTGTGTGTGTGTGTGTGTGTGTGTTATAATTCTCTCTTTTTTTTGTCTTTTTCCTTTTTATCGGTACTGGGGATCAAACTCACAACTGCCTACTTGCAAGGCAGGCGCTTATGCTGCTCAGCTAAATCCCCAGCCCCAATGTTACATAATTCTCACAGCCACCCTGAAAGACCTGTTTTCCAGAGGGGAAAATCGAGGCTAATGCCAGTCCTCTCACCTCTAGCAATGCTTTCTTAGTCCCTACTGTTTAGCTGCTGGCCCTCTCCAAGCCTGGACTATGTTCCGGCAGGTGCCCTGCTAGAAAGCTATGGGAGTGATCTGCATACTGTTTAGAGCAGTGGACCCCAAAGGAGGTCCTCAGTACAGCAGCCCTGATATTTACAAGTTCTCAGGCTGTGGCCCAGACCTATACAACCAGAAACTCTCACGAGAGTGGCAGCAGCCTTGTTTGCAGAAGACAAACCTACATACAATGACCACCACCGCCCCCAGCAGAGGTTCCACCTGTTACCTGACAGGGGCATCACGCTATCCAGAAGGACTTCTGCTCCCTGGAATGGCAGGGTCACAAAGTCAGACCTGGAAAGGCAGGAAAGGGACACATTTAACATGGCCTTGGAATTTGGCTCCACCACTGCTGACATGAGGCTGCTCTTTCGCTGAACAGACACTCACAGCCCAGGGCGAGGAAGTACACCTTGATGCAGGCAGGCGGCCCTGCTCTAAGCCTGGGTCAGGACTCCTGCATGTACTGAACCCAGAAAGCAGCAGCCGCACTGTTGATGCCGGACACACATCCTCAGGGTGACCTGGAGTCGTCAGGTTTGCTGAGGTCACACCCATTGACACAGAAGACAAGAGATGGAAGGAGCCGTTCTCAGCTGAGAATGGAGCCGCAAGAGGCTGCACACCGCACAGCTCCATGAAGCTCTGCTCACCTGATCTGCCGGAGCACATCCACTTTCACTCTCTTATATCCGCCGTAGTCCACGTATCGAATCTCCACCTCGTTGGTCTCCTCATAGGAGGCCACCACCTGGGCTCGCCACCAGGCCCCATCCACACCGGGGGCAGCACAGATGACCATGACTGCAGGGTAGGGATGGAGTGCATGGACACACTGAGCCAGAGCCGGGCAGCAAGGGCCACCCCTGGTCCCTGCTACTCACCTCCCCACACTACTTCTCAGAGTCCTGTACCTCCATGTGTAGGAAGGGACAGGGACGCATGAATCCCAACAAGGACTCCCTCTGAGCCCAGGATGAGTCAGGGAAGAGCGTGGGTCCGGCATGTGCAATACTCCGAAACTCCTCCATACTGAAAAGCATTTGATCTAGACCTGCCACCCTGAAACTTCCTGAGGCCTGAGACTCACAGACTAATCAGAGTAAACCAAGCAAAACACAATCTGTGCAGAGCAGGACAGAGGCGTGCCTTACTTTCTTAAGCTCCATGAAAGATGCAAGAACCTCCAGATCCAGCAGGTCTTACAGTGCAGACCCCTTGGGTCTGTTCTAGCCCATGACAACTAACAGAAAGTGTGGCTGGGACTGGGCAGAGATCTTCCCCCATCATCTAGCCTTTGCCTTAGGAGTAGGAGAGAACTAGCAGAGAGCAAGGCTATGCTCTAAATGGTCACCAAGTCTCCCCCCCGCCCCCGGGGCAGCAAGGGAAGATGAAACCATGCAGTGAGGCCAAGGGCTGACTACACTGAATCCCACCCCTTATTGACCCCTGGGGCAGCCGCCTCTTGAACTCTGCCAATAGAAATGCTAGCTTTCGCTGGCCAAGAAATAATCCAGCGTGACTACATGACAATGGCAAGAACTCAGGGATCCTGTCCCATGAAGGACAACAGAAGGGCTCCCTCCCTCATGAGCTAAGACAAGGCAACCCTCAGCCTGGCCAGAGCCAGGTGTCCCCAAGGCAGTGCTTACTCTTCACTGGGGTGGGTAAGGTGGGGATTCCAGGCTGAGAGTAACACAGGTACATCTGCTGGTCCAGGCTGCGCAGTGCATGGAAGGTGGGGTGTGTGTGCTGCTGTACGAACAGGTGCCCGGCATTCACTTGGTTGACCACGATCACTTCCACTGTGATGCCATCAGGCAGCATGAGCTGTAGAGGGGAAGAAGCAGTGGATACTGCATCGATCCTTCTGTGTAAGAGATCCTGACACCCCAGTGCAATCTCACAAGGGCACAGCAGCCAAAAATGACAGGTCACCCAAAGGCAGACATCCAAGAACTTCAGCTGTTATCTGTTGTCCTGCAGTACCACCAGCAGCCATTAGAGGCAGCCTCATCTTGGGGCAGGGAGACTGCGGAGCCTGGGCAGCCAGGATGCAGATGCAGGCAGGAGTTTATCCCACAAGACAATGCCTCCGTCCCTCCCATCTCTTACAAGACCTAGAGAAGACAAACCCAGAAAAGCGTGGCTGCTAAGAAAAAAGTGCCCAAGAACCAGCTTGGACACCTGCAAGTAGGCCAGCCAACTCCTCGACCTGCAGCTGGCTGACCCCAGCTATGGTTTGCCAGCACCTGCTCTGTCTTTGCAGCAGCAAGCAGCAATCTGCAGTCCCCTGCCACGTCTGCATCCTGTCTGTTCTCCATGGCTTCCCTTACCCCAGGTCCTGCTCTTCTCCCTCCACAGATGACTTGATTCATTCTCACCGTGGGCTTTGGCCTGTAGCTGTGCTCAGCAGCCAGGCCCTAGCATAATCCAGTATGTTTCTACAAGGTTCATTCCCAGGCACTGGTTTTCCTGATGCCAAATGACAGCCAGCAAATAGGGCTTCTGGGTCCCACTGTCCCTTCCATTTTTGAGCCTAAAAAACTTCTAAAAAACTTCCTCTGGCTAGGATCCCTGGCCTCTGTGTGCCTACCCCAGCCCCACTGGTCACTAGCACTGGAAGCTCCCCCAGTTCCATGAGGCCAAGCAGAATGCAATGGGAGGGAATCATCTACACAAACCTCCCCATTATTTAAAAAGAGTGTGTTCTCCAGTAAGAGTAACAGAGACAGAGACACAGACAGTTTAGGGCCAAACCTCCTTGGAAATCGCAATTTATGGGTAAAGTGTGGCATGTAGTTCAGCCCACTCCCAATACAGGGGCAGAACACCCATCCTTCTCTGGAGCCAAAGGTCACTGGTAGGGAGAACACAGAACTGCAATGTCCATCATGCTAAAGCGAGACCCAGGGGAGCCATCTTCATGAAGCACACGTGCAGCCCAGCTGTTTGAAACACGACGGACCAAGTCTTTGGCCCACAGAACTGTGCATGTTCACAGATGAGAAGAGGCAGACTAGGCTGGAGGCATGCACCCTGCGGGGTACAACAACAAGCCTCAAGAGCCCCAAGACCTGGAGACAGCAGCTTCTCCTCCTCCTGCCAAACTGCTAGGGCTTCCTAGGCATGAACTCCATACTGACAGAACAATCTAGGCAATGCCTGGGAGAGTGAAGGGAAGTGAGTCCTTCCCTGATCAGCTCAACTACAAGTAAGGAATGGAACGGGCTACCCAAGCCTCCCAGGTCTTTGGGTGAGGGTATGGGTGTGTCCACGCCCACGTGGGGCTTCTAAAAACTGCTATGTCCAGAGTCACTGGATATCCGTTGGAGGGAAATGCCTAGAAAACACAGAACACGGCCAGGTGGCAGAACTAGGACGATGCCGTCCTCCCATGCAGACCCTAGGGGCCACCGCTGTGGCAGCAGAGGCCTGAAGTGAGGGGGCGCAGGCCTTAACGCTGAGGCGTTTCTCCTCTGGCATAGGTGTGAGGGGAGCACACTTACCCAGGATGTCATGGGTAGAGAAGGCAGCGCCAGTGAAGGCAACGGGGGAGCGTAGATATTGGTGAGGTTCAGTTCCTTAAACTTCTTCCCAATCAAGTTCAGAGCTTTGTCTACATGATGCTGAGAGCCTAGAGGGGATGCAAGACGGGACATACAATCCCAGAGGGTGAGAGAAAAGTTGCAGCAGACACAAATGCCCAAAAGCCAAAAGCCCTCGCTCCACAGGTCTCTTCAAGGGCATCTTTAAGGTACAAAATGCTAAAGCTTTGGTTTACCAATAAAGTGGTGTAAACCTAGTCACCTTTTAAGTGATACCTCTGCCATTCTCATTTGTGCTTTCACCCCAGAGGCAGCTGGCCGATGGGAAAAAGCCCAGGTCTCCTCAACCAAAGAGCCTGTCTGCTCTGAGAGAGCCAGGCCCTGACCATCTTCAATGCTTAAGACTCTGCTGGCCAGAGGTGGGGCAGGCCCAAGTTCCTCCAAGTCCCTCTGAGGTATGAAAGATCCGACACTCCTGCTGCCTGGGGTAAAGAGCAGTTTCTGCTCAGAAGTTAGTTAAGGCTCCAAAGGATGGCAATCAGTCCTCAAACGTTTCCCTTTTCTTGCATTTCAGGTAAGAAAATTAAAGCACAGGCAGTGGCTGCCACTGACCTTCTATGTGGCAGATCTGGATGTTCTGGGTGTAAGGCAGGGTTGAGATGTAGATCTTGGCACCAGAGGTCTGCTTTAGGAAACTCACGTACCGGCCCTGCTTGCCTATTAGCCGGCCAACTAAGTGCTTCCAGGGAGAGAGAGGGAGAAGAGAGAGCGTTAAAAGGAAACCAATTCACCATGTCTGGAGGACCTGCTTTTGTTTTACACAGTTATACTAACTCTTACTGAGAGAGTTTTGTCCTAGAATAAGTTACATGATATTACAGCAGGGGAGGCGGAACCAAGGGATGTTTACCTTGAGGTCACTTCCTCCTTCCCCTATGACAACCTCCGTTTTCCTTTCCCAGTGCAAGACAAAAAAAGACTCCAATCAGCTCCTTGTGCGTCATCAATGCCCACACTAAGCACCACCCCTGGTCAGAGGTTATATGCATGTCCTGTACCACGCGTTCCTGTCAGAGAAAGCCAGGCTGTCCATGGTCATGGACTCCTCTCCACATCCTTGGAATAAAGGCTACTTTTTTACTTTACATATTTCTCTTTTATCACGATGAAAACTTTAACACTTACTGTGTTGGCAATTACTTGCCAGTACTGTTCTAAGTACTTAAATTTACTATCGTACCTGTGAAACAGATAAGCTATATTTTACTTTTTGAGACAGGGCCTCGTTATATGCTCATGGTGGCTTCAAACCTGCGATCCTTCTGCCTCAGTCTCCCTACTGCATGTGCTGTTATGTTCAGAAAAAATAGATAATTTTATCACTGATTTTATAGATGAAGAAACAAATCGACAAAGGCTGAGGAATCCACTCAAGATCATAAGCTCTAAGTTGATAGCCTGGCTCCAGGGCCCAGCAGCTCCCATTTCATCCTAAGAATGTGGCCAGACCCAGAAAGTAAAGGCAGTATCCCCTCTGCCTGTCCCCCACCACACATACCACGAGCCCTTTCCCAGCAGAAAGGCTCCCCATCCTGTGCCTCCAAGCCTACTCGAGTCCACAGGTAAAGGGCTCAGCTTGAAAATGAAAACTACACCACAAGTGGTAGCATGTGCCTGTAATCTCAGCACCTGGGAGGCTCAGGCAGGAGGAATGCTATGAGTCAAGGCCTGCCTGGGCTACAGAGTGAGCTCAAGACCAGTCTCAACTATGTAGTAATACTGTATCTAAAAAAGAAAACAAAACAGAATAAGGAGAGGAAGAAAAGCCTAAGAAGCCATGAGCTCCTGCTGCCAGTGGACAGCGGCTGGAGCTGTCCGAACGGGAGACATACAGATGTACCTAGTAACCCCGAGTTCAAGGCAGACGGAGGCCAAACAGCCATGAAGTAGATGACTCCAAACAGTCCCAAATGCTCCAGCCAGCCTCATTGTGCCCTCTGTCACCACAGAGGGCAGGCAGGGCTGCTAATGAGGTCACTAGGGAGGAAACCATTGCAAGGGCCAGCAGCCAAGGGGTAACACGACCCTTCTGAGGCAAGGTTCGGGCCCAGCCGGAGCTCCCCCTCAGCATGAGCCCAGGGCCCTGAGAGAGCGGTTTGCCACTTGGGAGCCCTGGAGAGGGACACGAAGATCAGGCTAGGAAGTTGTTACGCTGTAACAGCAAAAGGCTGCGAAGTCCTCCAGCATTAAGATCTGGGACTGGAGAAGCATAGGATGAGTAAGGAACTTAAAATTACATTTTCAAAGAATATTGCTGGAAAATGATACTGTTAAATATTCAAAAGTATTCATTAAAGCAACACAATCTAAGTTTTGTTTAAAAACCAGAAGGCAGAAGATGAAGAAGAAACAAAAGTCTTCACAGTCACCCTCAGAGGTTGGAATGGAATGGGTTTTTACTCATTTTGCACCTCTATACTTTAAAGGTTCTCTACACATAGACTTCCAGTCTGTTCAATGCTAAACTGCACTTTATTGCAGACCTAGAGCAGGGCACAGGGTCTGGCTGCCCTGTCCGGTTTTTGCTAGCCTTGCCAACACACCTGAACCCAGCACACGAAGTGGTGCAAGGCATGGGGCCAAGATGCCAGAGGACAGTTGGGGGGATACCCCAAGCCCGGGAAAACCAAGTATTCCCTTCCCTATAGCATCAACCTCGCTTGGGGCCTTTCTGGTCCACTGACCTCCTGGTCCCTGCCCCCCATCCCACTAAGCCAGTGGGTCCCCCTGGGCACCGCCGTACCTTTGGCACCTCAATCTCCCATATGATGAGGTCGACCTTCTTGGGATTGGAACCGGCCTGGGCGTTCTGCAGGTCATCAGTCTTCCTGCGCTCCCAGCAGTTCTCTGAATCCATACTGTTCGCGTCAGAACCTGCCAGGAGGCCAGCACACACAGACACTGGCTCAGAGGCAGCCGTATGGAAGCCACCAACCTCTCTTTCTTGAGAGCCCTTGCCCTCCTCAACCCGCAGGTACAACGGTCAACTCAGTCTGAGGCTCAGGAAAGCCCCAGGAGGAGGCGGCCTGGCGGATCGATACACCTAATTTTAGCCCGCCATGGGCCCATTTGCTTTTTTGGCAGCCACACCCGGCCACAGCTGCTGGAGCAAGCACAAGTGGTGAACTGGGAAGGGACGGGACGCGACGCCCAGCAGGGGAGGCCACAGGGTAGGAGTGGAGACACATGGTCCCGGGAGCTGCCCCCCGTCTCACCACCCTTCCAAGTGTCTCAGTCCCTAGACAAAGGTCTTCCGTTCCCAAGGCCCCAAGCCCAGGCTCCAGACAGTGGCCTTCAGCCAGGCCACGGGAGACAGTCTCCTCGCTGGCTCTGCTAAGGGCACTGCTCTCATCTCTGACCACAGACCGCTCACTTCTGTCATAGGAGGACAAGGGAAGGTGGCCTTTCTTGCTGCTGCTCAGGCCCAGTGGGCAACTCTAAATACCCTCTGGGGCTGAGTTAAAGCTCATTCTCCAGAGGAGAGTGGGAAGTGAGACTGCAACACCAGCCTGAGCTGTGTGCTTGCTCAGGGCACGGAGAGGGGCCATCACAGAAGAGGGGCCCAGCACAGTATAGGAGAAGTGGCTTTGGTTTAAGCATGGACGACTCAGTCACCAGAAACACAGCATGCTGAGTCTAAGTAGTTATTTGCTGCCTGATTTCCCCAGACCTGGGCATAACCTTTTGCCACGCCATCCACAGGCTATCTAGATGTGAAGGATTCAGGCTGGAAGAGATCCTGCTCTCAGTTAAGAGTCACCTTCACAATGACCTTGGCCCTCCACACCAGGGGCTCAGAACAGGGTTCTTGTGGGGAAAGCAACCCTTCTGACTGAGACTGTGCTGGGCCAGCCTAACAGACACCAGGGTCTCTGCTTGTGTCCAAAAAAAGGACAGTGGCCAATGACTACCCCTAGTGGTTGCCCAGAACCATACAGGCCTTGTCGGCCTGTATTCCAGCTCCCTCAGCCTGGTAGTTCCTGCACCCCTAGCCTGAACTCCCTCAACACAGAGGGGAGAATCCAGAGCTCTGCCTGGTGTCGGCACCCCTGAGCACCAAGAGATGGTGTCACGAGCTCCTAGTGATGGGCCCTGCTCCAGCCTCCCCTGCTGAGCTTAGCTCAGGAGCCCTCTACACATCTCACTGGTGACTGCAATCTGTTTAGAATTGGGAATCACAAAGCCAAGGGACTCATTTATTAAGTGCTGTAAGGAAAAAACCTTTCTTCTCTCCCCATTTAAGATGCAATTTTTAAAACATTTTAGTATCCCTGACATTAAAGTGCATCTTGTGGTATCTGGTCTTCCATAATTATGACTGGAGGCATTTTTCTTCTTCTAGAGGTACTTCAACAGTGGTAGCCTTAACAGTATCTTGGGCTGACCACAGGAAGTGTATGACATATGCCAGATGTGGCTCCAAGTGGTGAAACACCCAAGAAAGATCCCCAGACTTCCGGGATGCAGTGGAAATGGCAGGGAAAGGCTTTGGGATACACAAGTCAGACTGCCATTGAGGAATTGTATCGTCCTTTGGGAAAAGACTGGAAATACCCCAGGTGAGCTGCAAAAGTAGGGCCACAAGCTGCTGACCTGTAAGGTAGCGGTCTGAACTGTCTACGCTGGGGTCAGCATTCGAAAAACCCAGTGGACACTTCATTACCAAGTGCCCCTCTTCCCTGGGGTAGAACTGCAGCTGCACAGGAAAAAAAATGGCTGAGGCTCTGCAGAAGAGGAGGTGACAGCAACAACACAGGAAAGCTTGGGCCTCCCCAAGTACTCAAAGCTGTGGCCATTCTCAGGCACTTACCTGTAAGAGCTTCTGCACAAGGAGAACAGGTGAAGACATGGAACAAACACATGATTAAAGGGAATCAGCCACTGATATACACACACCCGTGCCTGGCTCTCGGGAGTATGCTACAGAGGCCTGTTAAAAACCTCATGAGGTGTCAGCGTTCCAAAGAGAAGAGCACACTAAGGTAACTGGTGGTCCCTTGATGAGCTGCCACCTTCTGAGGGGCTGGGGAGGCGCCCTGGCAGGCAAAGCAAGTGGCTTCGGGGTCCCAGGGCAACCTGACTTCTCATACCCACCCAACTCGGTGTAGACCAGTGGGCTACAGTGAAGGAACGCCCTCATTTTGCTGCAGTGGAGGGTACAGGCCACCAGCTTTCCCCTGACCAATAGAGGGAGACCTCCTGGATCCTCTGGGTTAGCTCCCTAGACCCTCCTACCTCCCGAGTGGTCTGCTTCTGCATCCACGCTCCATCCATCCTCAGTCCCCACATCTGACAACTCCCCCTTCAGCACCCCATTGCTGAAGGGCTGAGTACTGGCTGGCAGCGGTGGGGTCCTGTTGTTGTCCTTGGGGCTTGAGTTGGTCTCTGTGCAAGAGTCTCCGAGCCCTGACATGCTGACAGAATCTGAGCACTGCCCCGAGGTGGTCACGGGAGACACACTCTGGCTCTTGTCCAACATGCAGGTGACACAGGTGGCATCTCCCGCCAAGCTGCTGGCCTGATCCAGTGACTCTCTGAGGGGGGTGTCCGGCGCTGGGCAAGGGGCCAGGGAGATGGGGTGTGCGGAGTTCTTTGGCTTCCTGTCCTTGGTGGGGCTGGACAGAGGGCTGCTCAGGCAGCTCACGTAGGTCTTTGGTGGTGGCAGGTCTGCTGCCAGTGGGCCTGGAGAGGGGAGGGCAGTGTCCTGTGAGCTGGCAGCTGCCCCTGCTGTGGCGAGAGTAGGTTCTATGATGTCTCGCCCCATGAGAGTTTCCTGGCTGACTGGGGCACAGTTCTCCTCCTCTTTTCGTCCTTGGGGCTGATTGGCCGCAGCCTGGTCCGTGGTGGCCAGGACCTCTTCAGTGGCTTCTAAGATCACCTGGGAGATGATTTGGAAGGCAGCCTGTTCAAGCTTCTCATTTTCATCCAAGGCCTCCTCTTTGCCCAGTTCTCCTACTGGGTCTTTATCCCTGGCGTTGCCACTTGTGACCCAGGGTGTCTGTGTTGCCTCCTCCTTCGCTGACTGCACGAGGACACCGGGCAGCTTCCCAAGTGGGTACTCTTCTTTCGGGAGGGCCCTGACAGGCCCAACCACCAGCGGCAGGCTACCACTCCCCTTCGCTATTTTGCCACCTGAGGGGGCCAGGCCGAAAGCCTTGCCATTCTCGGGGTCCAAGGCTCGCTCCTGGGGCAGCAGACCTTTTGCAAGCACTGTTTCCCCCAGCACTGCATCGCCGTTCCCCTCGGTCCCGCCCATCTCTCTTTCTCTCGCCTTCTCCCCTGCGCCACGCTTCTCTGTGGTGGGCATCCCACTGAGGGTGGGCTCCTGCTTACACACCTCGGCCGCCTCTTGGGAGAACAGTAGATCTTTTGGGAATGTGAGGGGACACCCCAGAGGGACAGGCTTGGCCTTGTCACCCATCACAGCTAGTTCCACCTTTGTGGTGTTGTCCTTGCGCGTTCCTGGTTGGGACCTCACGTCAGTGGTGTTCTGCAGGCTGCCCGAGGACTCTGACCTGTGATGGGGCAGGTGCATCCACAGCGGGGCTGGGGGCTCCGTTGAAGGCTTGCTTGGAGCAGACTCTTTGTTTCTCGGCAGCTGAGTGACACTGAGGGGCACAGACACAACTGTGGAACAAGCCTCTTCTGTAGGGAGTGGTTCCTTGGTGGTAGGGCCAGCACTTAATGCCACAGCACCAGACTCTGCCTGCTCTTTGTTGCTGCTGACCTGCTGCTTTTTACGAGAGAAAAACCACCACCAGCCAAGGAGCGCCAGCATTCCAGGCAATGCCAAGGGGAAGAGTGAACGGAACTGGACTGCCATCCTGGAGGTGTGGAGTGCTCACGCCTGGGGAGAGCAGGAAAGGAGAGATGGGTGTTAAGAGAGCCACGTTAAGAGGGTACACAGTGAGTTACACCTTCATGGGGGTTTGTGCTGTGCTACAGAGGTAGCAAACCTGAACGCTTCATGTTCTCTCTTTCAGCGGAGGATGGGGCCCCCGGGGCCAGGGCTCTGCTTCTCAAACTGCAGTCCACAATCAAAAGCACTAAGTACCCGCTGGGAATGCAGTACCCCAGCCCCACCACAGACCTACGGAATCAGAGCTGCATTTCAACAGGACCACAGGGGAGTCCAACGCTACAACTGGGAAGGAACACTAGGAGATATAATCCGCCCCTAAAGGGATGAGGGTGTGGGGAGTTGGGGACAAATTCATTTGCAGAAAGTTCCCTCCATCGTCAAGGTGAGCCCCTATATGTGAGACCAAGCAATGAGACCAGGAGGTGCAGAATAGGGGCTCAGCAACGGCCAGAGTCCGATGACTGCCTCCCCATCTCCGGATGGAAAGCTTCACAATGCTGCCTCTCACGTTACATCTGGTAATGAGCTCTGTGAGATGCTCTCACCTGTGTCACCCAGCTCTCAACCATCTGGTTTGGAATGTATCACTACCTTAAAGGTTAAAGTAACTCAAAATCAAGCTGGGCGTGGTGGTGTACGACTATAATCCCAGCGTTCTGGGAGACTGAGGCAGAAGGATCTGAAGTCTGAGCCCATCCTGGGAAACAGCAATTTAGTGAGACCTTGTCTCAAAAATAAATTTAAAAATTTTTTAGAAAGTAAAAATAAAAATGGGTTGGGAATGCAGCTCAGTGCAAAGGCCCTGGGTTCAACTTGGGGGGGGGCAGTCGGTGGGAGTGCTCAAGGTCATGAGACAAGGAATGGGAACCCAGCTTCTATTCCACAGGAGAAGATGTATTATATTGGCCAAGCAAAGAGCAAGATCACACTACTTATGCAGTAGTGTGAAATCCAGAAATCCAAGGATACAACAGTATTGCTGTTAATTAAATAGTTGGTCCCATGTATGCACATGGAGAAAGCACTGTAATGCAGAAAACAAGTTATACAGCAAGATATATGTGATGTTTATACCCACATAATCCCATGGAAAAGCTGGCAAAGACACATACCAAGTCATATGGTTTGGAGGAGAGGGAAAGGAAACTTTTGCATATCAACTCCGAGGTCCTACAACTTTGATGAATTCATTTATTAGATCTAGTAAGTTTTTAGTAGTTTCCTTGGGATTTCCTATGTATGGATACCAATAGAGAAAAACTTCAGGAAAAGTGCTTCTCCAATGGGAATCCACATTAGCATCACTGGGAAAGGGCTTAAAGGCCTCGAGCCTGAGTGACATGAACACCAATTAAATCAGAATCCCTAAGGGTGAGAACCAACCCTGGGTTTCCCCTTTTCTTTAAACCCAGCCGATTCCAACATGTGGTCAAGTTTGAGGACCACTGTTGTGCAATATCTCTCACATACACCAAATTGTGGATTATAGGAGATTTGATTTGTATGTGTCTCATGCTCTTCTTCTATATAAGAAGATAATCTGACAACGGAAAGGGGGAGGGTGTGCCAGGACAGAGCAGTGTGACCACAGCCTGTGGTCAGGAAATTAAGTCCTTCCCAATAGTGTACAAACTGACACAAGTTCAGCTGGATCTGGGCCCATATTCTCATCTGGTCAGTAAACGGATTTGAGCCAGGGGTAGTGGCACACACCTTTAATCCTAGCACTTGAGTGGGTGAGACAAAGAAGATCTGTCAGTTTGAGGCTACTGTGCTCTCTACACATTAAGACCCCATCTCAAAAAACAAAACAAACAAACAAAAAAAGCAGAACAAAGCAAGCAAGAAAGACTAGATTCTGAATTCCTTTTCAGCAGGACCTATGGTGAGTCCCACAATATCCTAGCAATCCTCTCATCTCAGGAATAAAGATTAAATGGAAGGAGATAGAGTGACAGAAAAGAGATTCTAACAACCACTTCCACAGAGGTCCACAGTGACATCCCACGGCCAGACTCCAATTGAATATATTCCAGGAAGGCAACCCAAGACACAAACCTCTTAAACCAGTGGGAGAGGGCCTGAGCTTTGCAACCAAAAGTCGATCCCAAGTGTCCTGCTTCTCCACAAGTTGCTAGGTCACCCCACCCAGTCGCCCCAAACCTCAAAAGCTAGCTGCACTACAAAAAGGGGGGACTCAATAAACATACACTCCAATCTGGGTTTGGTTTTGTGCCCTTGTTGATGATCCACACCACAACCCAGCCCCCAGCATATCTTTGTCTTTCTGCTTGTCTATTCTTACCAAGCAGAATGCCCGGAGCTGACAGCCACGGGCCACAATATGTAAAAGGGCCAACACTACCAATTATCCATCCAAGTCCCCAGCCCTGCTTGCTCCCCAGTCTGACACTCTAAACCCTCAACTTTTCCACTCCTAGCTCCCTGCAGTCATCTGCGGCTATTCAACTGAGAAGTTCAACCCAGGAAACAGTTGTTATGCCACAACTTGTTATGCCAGGATGCTGTGCTGGACAAATGCTAACCTCAGAATCCAGAATGATCCACCATTGCCCATGACTCTCCCAGCCTCTACTCCCACTCTGTGCTACAGCCATAGACCAGGCCAGCTGCCAAGGAGCCTGGCTTCTGTGAGGTGAGTGGCTCAGGACACACGGTCCTTTCCCTGGGACTGCTTCCAAGTGCAGGAACTACCTAAGAAGACTGGGTTTATCTTTAACTGGCTGCTTGAAGACTAGGATTACAAAGCCATCCTCCACCAATGCTGGAAGCCCGGGGATTAGCAGCCACATGTCAAAAGGCCTTGGCTGCAACTCACCAGCCTAGCTGGGCACTGGTAAGCAAGAGGGGCTTCCAGAAGCAACTGATGCCCCGCCACCAATCCCCACTTCCCACCAGTCCAGAAAACAGCTAGCTCTTCAGTCCCTCATGCCTGACTCGGTCACCCCAATCAAGAGGACATCTTGGGGTGGTTAAGAGGCCTTTTTCACTGATTTATACAGCCTGCTAGGTCTACAGGAGGTGGTGTGGATGTTTCCTGAATGTTCAGACAAGCTACACATGTGCATGCCTTCAGCCTCACAAGGTTTTCTGCTATTTTCTTTCCTCCCTTCTCTGGTTCTGGCAGACTCTTATGAGACACTGTCTTTGTGTATTCTGTTTTTAAATCTCAACCTCCCTAGATTTAAATGACTGAACTCCATGGTTCTGGAACCTTTACCCCACAAGCTAACTGGAGGCTACCTACCCTACAGCCAGGACAAAGCAGCCCACAGGGATGCGGCAGAGCCCTGCCCTAGGACTGTAGGGGGACACGCAGCTATTTTGGATCGGCTGGAATTAAATCGCTGCCTGCTTATTTTTAGCAGGTCCATTTGCCCGGGAATAGACGCACGCTGGCTCACTGCCAAGCAGTCACACAGCACTGAAGCCAAGCACGTGCTTCAGCCACAAGGCCTTTTCGCATTCATCTGCTTGCTCCAGGCTCTTAAAGGATCCCTCCTTTCTCCTGGGGAAGTAGCTGCAGCTTCAAAGCACAGCTCTTGGAGAAGCTGAGGCCTCACTCCCATCCCAGCTTGTGGACCAGTAACAGCAGTCTAGAGCTTTCTGCTAAACAAGAAAACAAATTCCTGGGAATGGTACAAAAAAGCGTTGGTCCCAGTGAGTAAGCCAATTTGGCTACCATTACTGTGAAAAAAAGCTGCATGTAATTGAAGGGAAAGTCAACCACAAAAACAACCACTTAGGAGCCAAGTGCCCAAGTCACTCTGGGCTGGGCCTGCTCAGTGGAGCCACATTCACTTTGGGTTCTGACTGAACTGTGCACCTCTCCTCTCAACTAGAATCTCAACATTTCTTCCACTACTCCCATGTTCTACTGGCAGCGCTGTCCTGAGTTGTTTACCAGGCAGGCACCTGCCCAAGGTACCCCACCTCAAGTGCACTACAGCGAGCACTTGCTGCGAGCTCTTCCCCTTGACTCAGGCTTCCCTGGCAGGGAATCTGAACTGACAGCTGAGCCCTTTGGTCCCAGCACTTAAGAGACAGTGCAGGTTAGGCTGAGACACCCTCCACTTAATGGGAGCACAGCTCAAAAAGATCACACACTCAACAGTTCCTTGGTAGGTAGATGCAAGAGTAGCCCTTGGTTTGTACCACTGAGGTTTTCTAGTTCCCATGTGGGTTGTTCACACTGTTCGGCTTGCTCACACTCAAATTCGTATGAGCCGCTACAAAAAGCTCTGTCACATGAAGCTCACAATCCAGATACAAACTCAGTCTCTTACTCACACTCATTCTCATGGATCCCTTGCCCCACAAGCAGCCATGCCAAGAAGTAGACACTGAGCGCCCAGGAAGCTTTCTCAGAGGGCTGGGATTTCCTCAGGGTGCCACGGTGGGGGAGGGGAGGTGCATAAATTAAGGAGCCAGTGCCTTTGGGGGTTAGAGGTACAGTAAGTCACAAGGCAGAGCTGGAACCAGTCCTAAGAAGAGACACTAAAGAGCAGGTAGGGGGCCAAAGGCAGCATGACCTTTGCGTTCAAGGCGATGAGAACAGTTGCAACATGGTCAAAATAGAGCAGGTCACCAGAGGCAATGGCCAGGCGATCCCCAAGCAGTGACTGCTATCCAAGATTGGCAGGTGCTTAGTCACAGGGGTTACTGAGCCCTTGAAATGTGACAAGTGTGACTGGAGAAGTAAATTTCATGCTTTACCAAAAGTTAATTTAAACAGTCACACATAGCTGGTGGCTACCTAACAAACAGTACAGTTCCATGTGGGGTTCACACAGGCCCTGAGAAATGTGAGGGCTGGCCACAGGCTGTGAGGTCACTACCTACCTTGCTGGCAGTGTGTGGTCCTGCCTCAGAAGTGGGGGGCGATGGTGAGTCTGGGTCACTCTCCCACAGCAGCATGGCTGGGGACCAGGATTAGACTGCTGCAGCCATGCTTCTGGCGGGCT